TAGTTCACAGTGTTGAAATACTGCAATAAGCAGAAATGTTTGTATTAAGATTGCGAATTGCAGATGCTTGACTTCAGAGATGTGATTGCATATTAGTACTGAAAGAATCATCATGTAGCTTTTACTTGGTCTTTAATACTTCTTGCAAAATTCCCTCATTTTGTGCTAATGGAAGATTTAGGGGGGGTTGCTGAGTTTTTTTTTGTTCTAGTGAAATTACACAGCTTTTATACATTGCAGCCGTTCTTCATTGCATAGCTAATGTCTCCATCTTTTCAGAGAAACTTTTGGTTTCTTTGCAGGAATTACTGTTACTGGTTGTAGGCCTTTAATCTGTAAAGTCTAAAATAATGGTGTTTAATTTTCAAATTTTCTATCTGTGTGCTAAAAAGTGTTGGTCTTGGCTGAAAACATGTAAATGGATATTTAAAGAGCTCCTGTGTGGCGTGCTGTCTGTTGCTTTTTGTTCTGTCAATGCCTAAAATCTCTAACAAATGGACTTCCAACTTCTGAAACAGTCTTTCAGTATTTGTTGGATTATTTCTGATTACAATTGCTGTCTCCAAAAATCAGGCCAGGAAGTTGCCAGCAGTGTTCCAAAGAGCAGGGTATTGAATCAGGACTTTTTTTTTTTTTTTTAAACTGTCTGTCTTTTGCTTCGCAGTGTGAATGGTAATTTTAGTTCTGCTTTAGTAGTTAAATGACCATCAAATTCTGAATCTTTAGCATTCACACTTGAATTTTTAATAACACAGGTTTGGTTCATTGTCCTTGATCTCCACCCTCCACCACCCTTTTTCTTTTCCAGAATCCTTTTTATGACTTACTCTCTGTTCTGGAAGCCATTCTACTGTAATTTTTTGCATAATATATATAATTCAGAAAGCCATTTTGTAATAATTCTGGTTGAAAAAAGTACACTGGTGTGGCAAAGTGCAAGTACTCAGCACTTAGTCACCTGGTCGTTTTCCCTTGGTAAGCAGGTGTTTATCAAGAAAATTTTCCTGTCAACCACATTAATCATTTTCAGATGAGTTTTACCTTTTTTTATTTTCTTCTTAAGTTGCCGCGTACCTTAAGAGATTTTCAAGTTGGCCCTAAATAAAAAATGTTGGAATTAATTGTTTATAAATTCTTATTATACTTTTAGATATTGAAATATAATTTGCTTTAAATTATTGTAAATAAGAATTGAACTGTTCAAGAGTCCTAAAAATGCCTAGGTTTTGTGTTTGTTTTATTTTGCTTATTTATGTTTTGTTTTCCCTAAATGCAATCTCATGAGTACTTGGTTCTTCTTTTATATTGATAAATATCCTGCAGGGGTCAGCATTTACCATGTTATTTTTACTTTAATCAAAATACTATTTAAAGGTGGGTGGCTTTTATATTGAGACATTAAATATTCTGAGAGAAGAATGGTAAATATAAATTATGTAAATTGCCTAATACTTGAGAAATATGATTGCATAGTTAGAGTGCTACTCCCTCTTATTTAGTTTTGAGGGAGATCTTAAAACATTCTACACATTCTTAATTTGAAATTACCAAGGTAGTACAGCTTTAGTGACCAGGAGTGTTTGCTTTTGTTTCCTCTACTGAACTGTAGCTTTTTCATGCTTAGTTTTGTTTCATTCATCTACATATTCCTTGGCTTTGTTTTTTAGTATTACCCTATAGAAGAAGTATTGGCTGCTGAATATTTGCTTGAAGAATTCAGGCCTGATTTAATAGAGATGGTGCTGGATAAATTGAGACCAGAAAATGTTCGGTGAGTTAAACTGTATTTTAACACAAACATCATAAGAGAGCAGGTGAACTAATGGAAACACAAAATCTTAGGTGTCTCTTGCAGCTCTAAAGTAAATGTGGTTGAAAAATCTTCACTACGTTTCTTTGTATGAGAAGGTCTTAGATATACGCTAATTTATTTTCAAAGGTTGATGTATTTCAAATAATTACTGGATAAAGTCAGATAAACTTGAATTATAAACTATATTTGCAAATGTCATGGGGTTCTGGTGTTTCTGGGGATATGCAAGTAGTGATAGAACAAAGGGAGTTGCCTGCATCAGCCACAGTAGTTGCCATAGTAATTAATGCCCTTTAAAGAGGGGTCTGTATCTTTGTGTGTAGGTGTGCATCTGTGTGTAATGTGTGTGGGATACTTCAGCTGAAGCTTGACTATGTCAAAAGATCATCTTTTGAACAAACAACACTTTAATGAAAATCTCCAGTTCTCTTTCCCAAAGTATTTAATACTTCTCTATTTTGAATGTATTTTCATGTTACTGTGCCACCCAAGTTCTTGAAAATTTGATACCTCTTAACATATAAACACTGTTTTCAGTAATTAACATAGAAAATGTGTAATTACTTGCTCTCTGTAGATAAGCTTAACCAAATTCCACATGAATGTGAACTTTTAACTAGTTTTAACTAGTTTTAGAATTGCTTACAAATTGCAATTACAAACCTGAGCTGATGCTGATCTAGTAAAGAAGCTGCAGGTGTTAATGAGATCTGATGTTTATTATAGCTTCACATAGCTCTGAAGTGTAGCTCTTAACATTGCAAGAAAATAATCAATATTATCTGATTCATAATGTAAATTGGGTCTTTGTTACTACCCAGAGAACTTCCAAAGCATCTTCTTACTTAACACTGAAAAATTGCTGGAGGAAATTAGTACAGGTACCTACATTCATAGGTTCTTTATTTGGTCAGATGCTGTTGCGTGCTACGGACCACTCACCACCTTTCTGTGTTATTCCTGTTGCTGGCTGGGCCAGTCTTTTGACATTCTTTGCAGCTGTCAGCACTTCAGCTAAGACAGCCATAATGAACCTAGTTCAAGTTATTAGTGTGAGAAAGGAGAGTGTAGAGAATACCAGTAAAGGGAGATAATTCAAGTCTATAGAATGTGGCCAGAAGCATAAGAATAGTGGCAATGGTATTTAGAAGAATGTGGTGTGTTCTTTTCAGTGACACAGCAAATGCCTATTTCACAATGTTCTTTTGCTGTAGGTAATGTAGGCCCATATCTGCACTTTGCAGTTCTGCACTCCTCTTTGTCCATTGCTGAAATGAGGGGGGGGTCAGATAAGTGAAGCTCAAGATGAGCAAGAATCTAATTAGAGAGGAAAAGTAATTCTAAAAAGATACAGAATTTAGGTGTAACATGCTTGAAACATAGTAAGCAAAGAAGATAACAGCTTACTATGGTATGTATTTCCTACAGTAGTTTTGTGGGGCTACATCAGTCTTCTCCCATTTGACAAAGTGACTTCTGGTAAATGGACATTTTCTCTACGCTTGGTAATTGTGGATTAATTTTTTAAAAAACTAGATTTTTTTTCAAGATGGAACATATCTAGAAGAAATATGAACTGAAGATGAACTTTAGTATGTTAAGCAGCTAATAATAGTTTGATCCTTCAGATAATGGAGATAGGTGTTTCAGAAATGGTCACTGATCAGTAACTCCTGTGGGTCTCTGTAATTGTGGGCTTCAAATGTCATGTGTCTCACCTTGCTTTCTTCCAGCTGGTGCTTTTTGGTGCTGTATGTTATGTTTAATCTTATTCAGGACTAATTATGTTGTCTCTTCACTTTACTTGACTTAAGAAATAGATGTCATTTAATAGATGAAGAACTGTGTAATTTTAAACTTTTGTATAAAAAAGGTGCTAAAAGTATTGGGAGAAAAAAAAGGACTTTCAGAACTAGAATAAACCTGTTTTTATGGCTTCTTCAGTTAACTGTTAAAGAAGTAATATATTATCAGACTTTCCTACTTTCATTTGACTGAAAGAAAATACTAACTTGTATATGGTACTGTATTCCTTTTAGATACATTTTAAGCACTTACCCTGTGAAATTAGAAGTAGAATGAACTGAACTGCAATTTTTAAAAATCTTTTTTTTAACTAAGATCCTTCAAAGCATAGTAAAATATAGCAGGGAATATAATTTTATAGTATCTTTTATTTTAAATTGCTGGCAAGATACATTATCTTGGGAAGGGGAAATTTACTTAAGTATTACTAAAAGTGATTTAATGGTACATTACGAAGATTCAAGAAAGCCACTGTGGATTTTGTTTTTAGTGTGCTCTCTTAATGAATTGAGATTACAGATGTTAATAAAAGGGTCCCCTTGTGTTACATTTTTAAAAATTACATCTGTATCTATATGAATATAATGAATTACAGCAGCCTGCTCCCTTGTTTTGTCTTTTTTTGAGCAATTTTATATGCTAAAAAAAACGCCGTGCCATCTGCTTTCAATGTCTGTATGGTTTGGTTATCCACCATTTACTGATATGTATGCTCATGTTTACCTTTCGGTTCTCCCTTTTTATGAAAGAATTATGTGCCACATCCTAACTTTGCCTGTTGTCTGGCATTGTTTTCCTGTTTTTATTGTTATTTTTTTGTTTTATGTCTTGCATACATTCTGTCTTGAGGTGCTTTAGTAGGCACTGATTTGAATTTTTTCTTTGTATTGTGGTTTTATTTATAATTTCTTTTTTATTCACCTATATTAAGGACCTCTTGGTATAGCTATGTTGTAGTAACTGCATTGTGTCTTTTTAAAAGTATAGTTTTTTAACTATTATTTTCTTAACAAATTTTGAGTTTAAAAAATATGAAAAAAAAATCATTCTCACAGATGGTATGCATATAAGTATACATATGCTTCCATTTGATTGACCCAGAACAGAAAGTGTTCATATTCTTTTCCCACCTCCACACACTACTTGTTGTATTTAGTGCCTTAATTTCCCTAAGAGAGAAACTTGAAAATGTAAATGTATTTTTACTTGTTCAAACTGTATTGGGTTTTACCAGCCATCTGTGAAGGTAAGGGAATAGACTTGGCATGTGTAGCAATCTTAGCTGAAAAATGTAATTTTCCTATCATTTCCAAGGCATTTTTTCCCTTCAGCATCTGCAGAATAAATACTCTTATTAAAATTTAAGAAGATAGTGACTCACCAGATTAAGCAGCTAAAGAACATTTTCCCCTGGATAGTAAGTGGGTTTTTTTTTCCTCTGTTGATAGCAGAAGTACAGCACTAGTACTGTCCTAGAGGGAAGAAAAATAAAATGAAAGCCAAAAGTGTTGATAGAGAAATTTCTAACTACTGGAATTTCACAGACACTCAGCAAAGTTATCTCAGTTGCACTTGGTGATGCTCACCCTGAAGGTAAACATGCTAGAAATGTATCTGTTTGTTTTTAATTGCTTTGGGTCTCAGCATCCATTTTGAAAATCACAATTTGTTCACTCATTCCTCCCCACAAATCCTTGGCAGCAGCTTAGTTTTACTGAACACTAAGGAATAACTTGTGCATCTGCAGTGATCAGAGTGCTGTACCCCAGCAGCAGCTCTGGTTTCTGAGGGGGTTGATGATTGATATGTGAGGGCCTTTGAGTAGCATGAGTTGCCTCACATCAGTTTTACTGATGGTTGTGAGGAAACTTACGGACAAATGTAGATTTTTGTTATTTTTGTTTCCGTCATGTTGTGTTATAGATTTGAATTAGAGAAAAGTAACTTCTTCCATTGTTTGACAGTATCACAATTTGGAAGACAAAGTTTAAACTAGGTCCAAAAAAAGTCAATCCTTTATAAGAATAGGTTTGCTTTGACACATTTGTTACTAATGTCACAAATACTAAGTATTCTATTACTTTTCCAACTTCAGAACCTTGAGTTTCATTACATAAATCTGGAGTATAATAGTTGATAATATTTTGTGGAAGTACATTCATTTTAAAGCACACGTTCTCTTCCCAAGTAACATTGTCCTGTGGATTTCTCACCTGTAGCTTCAATTTAGATTTCAGGAGGGTGAAAAACAGGGATAGTATTTAGTAAATATGCATCACATTATAGAAACTGGTTGTTTCAGAAATTGGGTACTACAGCAGTTTGGATGTACAGGAATGTATCTAGAGAAGTAAATAGCATTTATAGTTTGTGTTCCGTATCCATGAATGGCTCAAGCCTAAATATACTTAAACAGATCCTATGAAGATTACCTGATTGCCTATCTTGAGTTCCCAGTGCATTTCCACACTGTCCTAAAACATACGGATGTTCATAGTGCTATACAGCACAACAGAGAAATTAATAGCAAAACTAATGTTACATCATTGGTGACTTTAGAGATGGATTATGATATATTGAAATACCTGCATGGCATAGCATTTCTACCTGCTGTGCTTCTCTTCCCCTCTTTTTGTGTCCTGATCTTCTTTCCTGTTGGTCTTAAGTTGTAATTCTTGGGCAGACAAAATGCCTTTTGATTTGTTTCTGTTGTTGTGGGTATGTTTCTGACAACTCAAAATGTCAGTAATCATTCCAGTAGTGACTTGGCATAAAGAGAAGGATCTGTTGAAGCAGAACTGCTTGAAGAATTACAGTGTTGGTTTCCACAATTTTGTTTTCTGTACTGAGTAGACAATTATTTTTAGCTCTTGAATTTTAGTATGCTCCTGTAAGAAATGTTTGGGTGCTTGGATTATCACTACTGCTTGAGCATCAGTATGTTGGAGAAGGGTAGGAGGAGGAAATGTTGAATAACAGACATATTCAAACAGTGTATTCTAGCATTAAACATCTTTGTCTTGCTGCTCTAGCCATATGATTATTGGCATTTTATTAGAATAATTTTTCTACTTAGGACTCTTACTTCTTTTTCTTCTTATTATTACTTATTTACTGTGCAAAAAGATCTGATAGGTAGGTTGCTCTGAAATTCTGAGACTTGATAGTTTTTGTAGTCTCTTAGCAACTTTGTACCTGTGTTGTGATTTAACCCCAGCCAGCAGCCAAGCCCCACACAGCCACTTCCTCACCCACCTGCCAGTGGGTTCCAGGGGAGAATCGCAAGGGTAAAAGCTGGAAAACTTGTGAATTGAGATACAGATAGTTCAACAGGGAAAGCAAAAGAAAAAAAGAGCAAAACAAGGAATCCATGTGTTGCTTCCCAAGGGCAGGCAGGTATTTAGCCATGTCCAGGAGAGCAGGTAGTTGTGCTACCTTTTTTGACCATTTCTTAGAATATGTTTCTTAGAAACATCTATTTACTCTTGAAGCTAGCTACTTCCATTGATACATTGTTCAATAGAATTAAAGGAATTTTCTTGATACCTATCATGTCGGCTACTAACAAAATACTGGTATGTTTGCAATTTTCTTTAATCTGGATTTCTTTTTTAGATGTGTTCTTTAGCTCAGGCAGCACCTGGATGATGCTGTCAGTTACATGGTTTAGTTTTAGGTAGTCCTGCAAGAAGCAGGGAGTTGAATATGAGATGATCCTTATGAGCCCCTTTCAATGTGAGGTTATCTACAGTTCTGTGACACTAGAACTGGAATAAAATGTCTATAATCAGTATTTTCACATATTTGGATGTTCATACAGGTGGTATAGAAAATGTAATTGCTTTCTTAGAAACATCTATTTACTCTTGAAGCTAGCTACTTCCATTGATACATTGTTCAATAGAATTAAAGGAATTTTCTTGATACCTATCATGTCGGCTACTAACAAAATACTGGTATGTTTGCAATTTTCTTTAATCTGGATTTCTTTTTTAGGTGTGTTCTTTAGTTCAGGCAGCACCTGGATGATGCTCTCAGTCACATGGTTTAGTTTTAGGTAGTCCTGCAAGAAGCAGGGAGTTGAATATGAGATGATCCTTATGAGCCCCTTTCAATGTGAGGTTATCTACAGTTCTGTGACACTAGAACTGGAATAAAATGTCTATAATCAGTATTTTCACATATTTGGATGTTCATACAGGTGGTATAGAAAATGTAATTGCTTCAATTACAATCAATTTTCTAGAAGACTGCAAGAACTGCTTTGTTTTCTGGAACAACAAGAATCTTAAAAATAGAAATTGCATGCAGCACTACTGGTGTGTAACCCCGGGTTGTAACACTTCAGAAAAACAGTGGCATTAAATGACTGTGGTAACCTGATTTCATTTCAGGTTAACCTTAGCATGTAGTTCTGTATACTTACACATGGTCTTCTACACTGTAATTGTCTATGGACTGTTTGCAGAAATAAAGGTATTCAGGTGATGAAGCAGAAACAGTGCTTGAAATGAAGTCTTAGTCTTTTCTCAGACACATTCATGCCAAAGTGTCTCTTTGTTTTCAGAGTTGCAATAGTTTCCAAGTCCTTTGAAGGAAAAACAGATCGAACGGAAGAGTGGTATGGAACACAGTACAAGCAAGAAGCAATTTCTGATGAAGTTATTAAGGCATGTTAAAATTTGTAACATTCTAATATCTGCAAGTGAAAGTCAGTGGTAAATTGTTTGTCCAATTTTCCATATAGTTGAAGGGGGAATTTGAATCCACTGCTTTTCATAGCATGAAAGTCATACAATGAGTCTGTTTAATGTTAAAGGAAGTAAGAATATTGTATTAGTCTTTAGATTTCAAATATTTATTATATAGGAGGGATGTATTTTAGTGGTTATAAACCATGTTAAGTGCAGGAATTGTTACAGTTTTTTTTGTAGAAGATCCCTAATATGCAGTGGCTGAGAAAAAAAAGTAAGCATTAACTTTTAAAAACTTAAAACTCTCTATTATATATTAATGAACTGATCAGTACTTAAAAAAGGAATTTTTAAAAACTGTTCTATGTAACTGCTTCTGAAGTTGATTTTTGCAACATAGAAAGCAAGTATGTTTTGCCAGTTAAAAGAGACTGTAAAAATCAAAACTCAAAAAAAAAGAGGTGGGCAAATCCTTGTTGAAACTTGTTATTGTTTTGATCTCCTATGAAGAGATGGCTGTAAAATTTACCTTAGGGTTGAATTGGACCTTCTGAGTGTGCTCTGAACTGACATTGCATGGGAGCACTTCCTTGAGCTTGACCATACCTGTGTTCTTAATTAGAATTCTTGGTTAAATGTTTAGTTTAATATCTTCATTTACAGTTCACAGTAGCAGAAAATATAAGATATAAACCCACCCTCCTCTTTACTATAAACTTTTCAAAATTATTTATCTGTTATCCTCCTTCTAAGAGCAATTCATCCTGCTGATAGCCTGCTCCAACTTTTTTTCCCCAGGTATTTCTCTCTTTCCCTGTTAGCTTAATAATATTTACACAGAAGGTACTGGAATACATTTTTAAATCTTTTGTATTAGCATAAAATAAATAAGCCCATGTATGCTTTAATTAAGCAGAAAATGGCATAGCTTCATTGTTTCTCCTGTTGATCTAGAAATGGCAAAATGCTGACCTGAATGGGAAATTCAAGCTTCCAATGAAGAATGAGTTTATTCCTACAAACTTTGAGATTTTGCCATTGGAAAAAGATGCAACACAGTACCCTGCCCTTGTCAAGGTAAACTGTCATTTGTCCTGTTTACTGCCTAACCTTCTGGGAAGTTAGAATTTAATTCCTCTGTTTCATAAAATACAGATCATCTCATATTCCAAAGGATAGAAAACAAAAAAGTACAAAACTTGAATATTTGGCGACAAAGACAGTAGAAAGTTAATTCTTGCTGAACTTTGGACTGTGGCAATTTGTGTTCCTAGGAAAGTGAGTCTAGATACAGCTTGAACTCTTATCTGCCCTTTTGAAAGTGTGTCAGCAGTTGATAAAAATAGCAATAGAGCTGTTTATTCAGCAGAAGGGTGACTGTCACTCTTCCATTTTTTTTGACCACTGTTGAGTAAGTCGAGGGTGTAGGGAAGGCTATTGTTATGTAACTGCGTACAGAAAATGCCTGTGATTGCATGGAAAAATGAGAGAAGTGTCATTTACTCATCTCAAAATATAGTGAATATATATTCAATATATTGAATATATCTATATTCACTATATATATTGAATATAGCAGTTCAAGCAATTTGAATTTAAGGGAATAATTCTAAGGGGCAATTGGAAGTGGTGAAGAGGCTTTTTTTAAGGTGTGGCATGTATTGCAGTTAAAAGTCAGATGACTTAACAAAGCCTCTTTTCTTGACACAGGACACTGCTATGAGCAAACTATGGTTCAAGCAAGATGACAAATTTTTTTTGCCGAAAGCTTGTCTCAACTTTGAATTTTTCAGGTATGCAATGTTAAGTATATCACATAAAGTTGTCTCCAAAAGTTTCTTACTTATTGGGAATCTGCATTTGTTCAGCAAAAATGCTTTCTTGCACTTTAGAATCTTTGTCCTTACTTTGAATATGTAATATAAGGCTTAGATGCAGGAAGGCGCATCTAAGATATGCAGTAATTGAGTAGCAAGAAATTTTATGTGCTCCTTCTATACTGAAAGGAAAAGTTTACTTGAAAATACTTTTAAACCAAATTTTCTTTTATATTTTATTTGCTATACCTGAAATATACCTGCCAATAGAACCCACTACATACTGCAATATCCCTCTTTAAAAATAATTGTGTATTTTCAAATTAAATACTAAATCACAGCTATTTTAACATGTGTTTTTCTTATGAAATGCTATTCTGATAATAGTTTTAGGCTTAAATTCTGTTTTCATTTGCATAATGCAAATCAGTTTAAAAAGTGCTTGAAAATTCTGGGATTTTCCTTAACTGACACCTAAAACTGATTGTACTTTTTTTTTGAAGAGCATTGTCTATATTATCAGTGAGTGTTTGATTCTGACCTCAAGATGTATGATAAAATGATGTAATGTTGATTCTGATCTTGCATGACTTTCATCATTAGAAGATAATCTTTTTTAAGTGAGCATGACAATGATGGAACTTCTTAATGTTCCTTTCAAGTAATAAATTTCTAACTTTTGAATTAAAAAAAATCCTGCTGTTTTTAAAGTGCAGCTGATTCTGTGTTGAACTACTGAAAGCCAGAAAAAATTCAGGGACTCTCCTTTTGCCTAATTAAGTTATTTGGTGATATTGCTGGAAGGGCCTTTGTGGGGGCTCCCACAGATGCACTGATGTTGAATTCTTGTTTTGAGAGACCACTTGAAATTTTTCTTGCAGGATATTATACAGAGGATTTTTTCAGTGTGTGTCATGTCTTGGTACTGGTTTTGATACTAGCTGGGCAAAATAGGTTGCCTGGGCATTTTCTCTTTTTGCTTTTTGAAACCACAGGCCCGATGTTAGAACTTTTTCAACTTCAGGAAAATGTGTCAGGAAATGGAGGATCAAAATGGCAACTTCCCATCTCTCATCAGAGAACAGCAATTGCAGTGCTTTGCCTTCTTTTTCATTCTTAGTAGCTTTCCCTTGTGCTATTTTTGGCCAAATCCAAAATAGGATTTTACTGATGGACACTGAGTTTACAGCTGTGGTGGTTTTTTAAATCAATTCAGGTGAACTATAATATCTAACAATCTGTGAATGAATAAAAGATAATAATTGGGTTTATGTAGAGCACACCAAGGTGTAAGTGTATGCAATACACACAGTATCTTAGAATTGTGTTGGAAGTGACCTTTAAGGGTCTAGTCCAGCCCTCCTGCAGCAAGCAGGGGTATTTTACCTAGACCTGTGGAGATGGTATATCCCAGTTAGATTGTGCTTTCATCTCAGTGAGCCCTTATAAAAAGCCAGAAGTAGTTGAGCTTTGCTGACCATTGTGGTGGAATGATTTGCCTCTTTCCTCCTAGGAGCAGTTCCAGGTGAGAGCTGGCTTTTTTGCTTAGGGCTGGGAGCAGGGGTTCTTTCCTTTTCCTTAAAAATGAGATGGTAATTGTGCGTGAGCAGGAGTGAGGAGATTTCGACAATACTGGGTGCATCACCTCTAAAAGATGTTGTAACCAGGTTTGTCTAGTTCAGATACTTAGAAAAGGCTCTTGGAGAATCTGTCTCTCTGTGGTCATGCTGATGGTCATTGAAGGACATGTTGAAATGTAGAGTGTTTATTCATGAGACTTGATGAAATCACTCATATCTCATGGGACCAAGTGAACTGGTGAATAAAGCCATCTTTATGACATAGATTTTAATAAAAAGTCTAAGCCTCAGTTCTAGATCAGAATATGAAGCCTCTGCTGCCTTGTAGTGGATTACAAGAGTTTGTTTGCACTGCAGACTGCTTCAGTATGATAAAAAAAAAACTAGGAGGATTTCTTCTGCCTGCAACCCTGATCAACATAAAGCATAGAAAGAATCCTGGTCCAGATGTTGTAGCAGCAATTGCTGTTTTGATAAATTAAGAGGAAGTTGATGAGGTTGGTTTCTCCCTTAAATATACAAACTGCACAGGAACAATATCTGTATGAACCTCTTGAAATCACCTCGTTCCAAAACTGAAAATCCTTACAGGCATCCTTGTGTTAAAGAAACATCACAGTAAAAACATCTGACTTAACTGCCTAGTCTAAAAGAGGATCATAAGCTTTTGCATTATTGCTTAAATTGCAAGAATTGCAACTTAAAAAATCAAAAAGTATCGTTTTTTAAGAGGAAGTAAAACAACCATGTAATGTGGTGATGCTTTGAAACTCAGCATTTCCGTGTTGATTCCAGCTCTGTCACTTACAGCTGTTTGAAAGGGGAAAGGACTAGATGTTATGGGTTTGGTTTTTTAAATGCACCATTAGTGATTGAGTTGTTCTACTTCTTTGAGTCCAGTAAGAAAAGGTAAACTAGAAATAAGCTTTTGTTTACAAAACTGTCAATAATAGGAAGCAACTCCCAGAACAGTGTTGTAATAATTGTTTTCTGTTATTTTTCACTTGAGGATTAATGATCTAGTAGTTGTGATTTTGTTCAAAATTCCCAGTTGGCCTTTGCCAGCTAAGTGAGAATGCACAATTTAAAACTGATACAGACACAGTAATCACTCAGACTGATTAAGTGTGTATTCTAGTATCAAAATGGGAAAGAATTTAATGAGTCTGGAGGAAGGTTTGTAGGATTGACCTACATCTCACTTTGAATTTGGTCTTAATTAAAAAATTCAATAGTAATTTGATTTATATCGTTTGGCATATTGAATTTGCTCAGTTTTGGGAAATTCTCATTGTAGGGAGAAGTGCAAATACCAGTTCTTTTGTCTTTTTTACTGACCTGTTTGTTTAATCTGGGCTAGGATTTCAGACTATAGCAGGCTCTGCTTCTCAAATAGATACATTTGAAATCATTAATTTAGTTTGTTAAAATATCTTCCTGTGCTTCCTTTTCTTAACCTAAAACAGATAAGTTCAAAGCTATGAGGAATCCTCTTAA